TCCCTGTTAGCCCAGTAACAGTTAAGTGTGGCTATGAAAGGAGAGAGACCCTCAGTGGTGTACGGACAAGCAAATTGACAAGCCCATTTAGAAGGTATGACTTGGAGGCCATGAATATTACAGGTTTGCCAAGCTATCAGAAGAGAAAACGCAACCACTGGCGTGAGACAAGAAGAGTCTGGGTATTCCCAGAGAGAAGTGGAAAAGCAAAGGCAGGAAGATTCTAGAAAGCTGGGTTCCGTGTGATGCTAATCCCAGAACACCAATCACTCATTCATGATTATTTCTAACTGCTTACTATGCATCTCCACTAAATATCCCCCAATCACCTCAAACTCAAAATGTCCATTAAAATGGAACCTGTATCGTAGCTGCTGCTTCACCTGCACTGTCTCTGGGCTTGCTGGCCACTCCCAGCATCCATTCAGCCCCTGTCACCTCTGCCTCTTCCACATCTCCTACCTGCTTCCCCTCTTTCTCCCCACTGATATCGCGTTAGTTCTGGCAGGTTTCTTCTTTCTTAAATTTCATGCTATCAACAGACACTGAGTGAGGATTAGTTGTATTCTACACCAACCAGACCATTTGCTGATTTGTGTGCGAGTCTGAACAATCCAGAATGTACCGATATTACACTGTTCTATGTTCTTAGGGCAAAGGTGGGGTTGTTTCTCTAAGAGAGTAGTACCCTCCTCCCCATCAAGCACAAGGGAAGAAGGAACAGGACAGAAGATAAGGATCAGGTGGGCAGTCTTAGGCTGGAGTCAGCCTCACGGTGCCCTCTCTCTCTTTCTCTCTCTCTGGGGTCTATGTACGCTGGAGCTCGGATCCTTCAGGGCAGACATGGTTGAAGTTCCTTTCACCGCAAGGAAGGGAACTGAGCCTTTGAGGTGACGGTGGGCTGGGAGATGGCTGTGAAACGGGCTGTGGGGCCCTCCGAGGATAGGCAGGATTTGAGCCAGGGGCTCTGAGAGTAGCCATGTGTCTGAAGTTGCACCTTTTCCATGCTGAGTTGTGCTTCCGTTATTCCTGAACTTTGACTGCAGACACCTCTCAGCTCTCACTGTGAGGAGCTGTGGGAAGGACCAGTGCTCCAAACCAGCCCAAGGCAGGACCAGAGAGAACAGCACTTGAAGTAAACTGGTCTTGAGGCATCGGGGCCAACTGGTAATGATGGTCCATGGAAATCTGGGACCAGAGGGACAGTTCAGGAGCAAAGAGATGGCCAGAGCAGATCTGCAGAACTTCCGAGTTTCACTGAGGATTTCCAGAAATATGTGGAATGGGATCTCAGTAAATCTGACTTCTTGCATTTGAATGAGATGGAAGTTCAAGTCATGATCAGGTGAGAGCTCCCATACGGGTCACATGTGTATCTAGAAGTTCTATGCTAAATATACAACATCTAGGGCACTCTGCATGCTCCAAGTTTTAGCAGCTAGAAACAAAATCCACTTGAAGATAGAGGATTCTGCCCCTTAAAGAGCTTGTAGATCCCAGGGCTCATGTCTCAGCTTCCTCTAGGAGGCACCCAGCCAGATATGAGTTGGTGACAGAGGTACCCTTACCTAATGTTCACTGGCTACAAGCTCAGGAGTTATACTTCTTGAGGACTGGGGCTGCATGGCTTCTGCTAAGACAAGGGAGTGGAGAGTGGGGTATGGGAGGGGACACAGAAGGGGACATCATTAAATATTTTATTTTGGGGGGGGGGGTACCAGGGATTGAACTCACTCAGCCACTGAGCCACATCCCCAGCCTTATTTTGTATTTTTTTTAGAGACAGGGTCTCACTGAGTTGCTTAGTGCCTTGCTTTTGCTGAGACTGGCTTTGAACTTGTGATACTCTTGCCTCAGCCTCCCAAGCCACTAGGATTACAGGCATGTGTCACCGTGCCAGGCCCCACGCCTAGCTATCATTAAGCAGTTATGCAGCCAAGGGATAACGAACAGGGCCTCCATTATTCTAGGTGGCCTCCATCAATAACTGCCCTCTTCCTTACAAAGTCAAGGAGGTCCATCAGTTATCTCCCCATTTTCAGAGAAGGTAGAGAGCAATCACTTAAAAGAACAGAAACTTAGGATGCCTTTGGTTCCAGCACTGCCACTTACAGTAGCTATAAAGAACACAGACTAGAGAAACAAAATTAAAAATTTTCCTTAAAATACGACTTACGAGCAACTAAAGACTGAGATTTCTAAATCATTGGTATAAAGGTTCTGATGCAGGGAAGGCTCCAGGCCACCAAAGACTGGGATGGGCTGGGAACCCTAGATCCATGTCTCACAGCAAGGACTGAGATGATCCCAGGATTGACGTTTTCCTTTACCTGTTCTGGCCAAGGGCATCATACCAGCTTCTTAGTGGGTAAAGAGCTGAGACAACAGGAGACACATACTGTTTGCAGTTTACAGTTACATAAGACACTGTGTCTGTGTAGGGCAGTAAAAATAACCCACCTACTTGCTGAGGGGTCTGCTATGTGATAAAACTTGCGGTGGGGGGATCAGAATATACATGACCAGGAAACTCTACTGAAGTCTGGAATAAACTGCTCTTGATTACCAGGGCTACCATGGCATCAAAAGCCATTGGTGACCCTGCAGTGCATTAGGCCATTTCCTCTGACACATGGAGGGTGACGCATACAGGGTACCAGAAGAAGGGTTATCACATGAACACACATCACCAGCTGTCCCCTTGACACCTCAAACATAGAGGGTGCTTTTGTTGATGAGGTGCAGCATCCATACAGTTAACAAAATCCATACTGGATATAAGATTCTGTAAACAGTGTATCTCAGAAATTTAGGGTTTTCTTAAGGTATTGTTGTTCTACAATAGTTTCTTGTTAGTTCTTAGTAACAACAATTGGCTCTTTCTAAGAGGGTCTGGGTAACTCAGAGCCTTTGAAACACAGAATGAGAAAACAGACATCCCCAAATCCCTCAAGTGTGACGACATGCTTCATTCAGTTCTTCCCCGCCAGCCAAACATGACCTGTACCTTGATCACGTGTTTCCAAGCCTGCGCTCCCCCCTCCAAACTTCCTCCTTGGCTAGTAGGTGTGGTGTGATGGAGAAGGCACTAGGCTTGTTAGAACCATAGATGGCAGGAATCACAATCCAGAGTGACACTGAGAACATGGAAACTCCTTCCTGGGATGCCTCAGACTTTCACACCCTCCCAAGCCTGAGCTCACCCACCCTGGCAAAGGTGATGGAGGACGGAGTCAAGGGCCACTTTCTTGCAGGCCCTCTTTTCAGTCCTGCTCAGGATGCCTCCCAGCTGTATGAGCCCATAGGGGAATGGGTGGGAACAGTGGGGTGGAACGCGGGAGGAAAGCAGAAGTTCAGGGTGCAAAAGAGACACACAGCGAGAGCTTATAACATGGCCTTATTTCTGCTTATTAAGTCACAGACTAGAGAGGCTCCAGCCTTGGGGACAAGATGTGCAGGCCCTCCCCTTCACCAATTATCAGAGAGAAATTCAGGGAAGGACCTGGTTTGAGAAAGGAAGAAACAAAGTCAAAGTGTAGAACAACTTATGTTCTTTAGGTAAGTGGGTGTCTATGGGTCAGTGTCCCAGCCCAGCCTAGCCTGACACGTCCTGCATTCTTGCAGATCATGTAGGATTGGCTCTCTTCTCATGCAGCAACCCCAATTCACCAAGGCCACCTCCTCAGTCCATGCCCCACCTGCAAAGCACAGAACAAGGGCCCCCACTGGGTCACACCTGAGCAAGGGCTCAGCTTCTCTTCCTACAACTGTCACAGGTAGGTCCTCTTCTCCCAGAGTCCCTGCTGGCTTGTCCTGCCTACACACCTGCGAGCAGGAAGTTTAATTTAATATCTTCCCAAAGATTACCCAGAAGCCAAAGATCCAGATCTCTTGCCTTTTTGTGCTGAGGGGGAAAAAAAAAAATCATATCTTTACCCCCCCCCCCCCCCCCCCGCCCCCCCCCCCCCCCCCCACACCAAGTCAGAACTATTCTTATCACGAATGTCCTTGGCCTTTGGCTGATTCAGGAAAATGCACTATGTATCACTGCATTTTAAAATTTTTCCTCACATTTTTCCAAATGGCACTGGGAACACTTTGGGATCCAACTCTTGCAGCTCCTGATCACCTTCCTGGTCTAGAGGCTGACCTCACAAGAGCCAGGTGAGCAGGTGGCTTATGAGCCAGCCTTCAACAAGTCCTCCTATTTTTAAGCAGATCTCGTTGAGGACTAAAGTCAGAGTGGGAATCACAGGCTCGCAGCTGAGGTCAGGGGAGGCCAGTGAAGGACCAGAAGCCCATATTCATCCTCACGGCTCAGGAGAAGGCAGAACCGGGCAGAGGAGAGAACAGGGCATCAAAAAGGACAGGAGGACAAAGACCTGCTACCATGGGGTCAGAAAGCCAGGGCACCTTTGCTGTGCTCTGGGCCAGCTCTCTCCACAGGGAGGGAAGTTCTGCCCAGCTCCGTTTCCCTAGAAGCGTGGAGGAACTGCAGTGTTCTGAGTCAAAGGAAGGAGGGAGGGAAGGAGGGGAAGGAAGGAAGGAAGGAAGGAAAGGGAAAGAAAGAGAGAGAGAAAGAGGCAGGGAGGGAGGGAGGGAAGGAAGAAAAGAAACACCGGGGGCTTTAGACAGGCTTCCTCAATGCCAAATGACCTTCTGATGTGCGGTTTAATCAGGACAAATGGGCCCTTCCTGCAGGGACCTGGTCCTGACATTAGCTCGCTTCTTTGCTGAGTTCCTTTTACGAAAGGCCCAGGCAGTGAGCCTTTGAGAACTAATGGCCGACTTTATAACAGAAGCAGGAGGCAGAGAAACGTCCTTAAAGAAGGGAGGTGGTAAAGACGGGGAATGTGGACCTTCTCGGGGCCCTGCCCACAGGGCTGTCCTTCCATCTGACACCCTGGCAAAGCCACACGTTGCGTCTCCTGGTGGGCCTGGGTTAAGAGACCCCTAAGCAGGAAAAAAGCATCCATCTACAGAGGGGCAGCGGAACTTACCTCCATCCGTAGTGGAGAAGCTCTGTGGAAACAAAAGCAGGGCAGAGCATTATTAAGCGTGTGGGGTGCTGTCTCTCAGCCCTCAGCCACTCCTTCCCAGGCCCAGGCTCAGAATGTGACTGTGGCGGGCGAACCCCATGCTCTCTTTTCTTCTGAGAAATTATCCACAAAACTAAGGGAATTGTTAAGGTTTATCAACCCCAACTTTTGTTTATGTTTTTGGTACTGGGATTGAACCCAAGGGCACATTACATCCTCAGCCCTTTTTATTTTTTATCACAAGACGGGGTCTCACTAAGTTGCGCAGGCTGGCCTTGAACTCTCAATCCTCCTGCCACAGCCTCCTGAATCGCTGGGTTTACAGGCAGGTGCCACCACGCCCCACTCCATCCCCATCTTATACCAAATTTTGATCAATTCATTATCATATTGATTTTACTAATGATTTAGAAAACATCCTGGGTTGTGCTGAAGAAGTGATATTAGAAAAATCTCATCTTAAAATCCATTTCATTAGTTTGGTTGTCTCTCACCGAGGTACTGCGGAAACAGCAGGGACAGAATGGAGGGAAGGTCCTGAGATACTCAGGGCCCACTGGCCTTCTGGATTCTCTGTTCTTTTCTACACAACGTCATTTGTTTTTACGTAGTTAGATTTCACTCTGTATTTGAAATTCGTGTCCATTTGATAACAGTACTGTCTCTGGCCCTTTTATAAAGCAGAGACTCCATAAGCAAAGCCCCAGGGAGAGTGTTTAATCTCCTGAGCAGGAATTGGTTTCATAGTTCTGGAGTCCAATAGGGGAAGATTTTAAGGCATTAGGCAGAAAAAGGTATGGACAGCAAGTGGAAGGGGTTAACTAATGACTCTTTTCAAGGCCTCCCTGCAGACCACGTGGTCCACGCCCAAAGACAGGCAGGCCACTTAGCTTTAGGGATGGCATGTGATCCTCACACCCTTGTCCCTCATTTCACAGAGTGTGTGGCTCGGACTTTTCAACACCCACTGGCCTCTTTGGTGACATCTTCCTAGGGCTTGCTTCCCCATGGACAGGACTTAGAGAAATCATATTTGGTTTCTTCACCTTCTGAAAGTCCTTGAAGGATTTTTCTGTCTCTTTTAGCTTCTCCAGGATGATTTGCTCTTTGGCAGATATCTGGGATTCTTCACTTTCGAGTGCTTGGATTTCCTGCTCCAGCCTGGAAGACAAACAAACAGAGGACAAGTTGCTTTATTGTCCTGCTGTCCACGGGCAAGAGAGCAGCTCCGTCCTTCCTGTGGGGTGACTTGGACCTTCCTAGCAGTCTTTACATTTTGCTGAGGAACCAGGCCAAGGTTTTATATTACAGAGTGCCCTCTATTTCCAGTTTTGTCACTGGGTAGATATTGGTTAAAGGAACACAACCCAGGGCTACCTCCACAAGTTCAAAGTCATTACTGTGCAATGTGCTTTGGTAGCTCCCCTCCAGCCCAACTCCTGGGCATGCTTCTTATTTGTAGATGGACAATGTTTACTAGAACAGAGCATAATATCTGAAGGAAGTAGCTTCATATTCTAGTGATTTCAAAATAACTGCCCTGCTCTCAGGATGGCCAAAAGGTGAAGGGTCAGTCTTGCTCAAAGGAAATAACACTGTTAAGAAATGGCTGGTGCCCAAAACCCATGGGAGGCTGCTGTCCTCTCCCTTAGTGATACAGCTTTTATTGCCAAAAAGAAGGAAGATGGAAGGAACAGATGTAACTGCCCCCCTGCTCTTCTGGAACTTTCCTCGTTTTTCACGCAGCCTCCTATATATTTTCCAAAAGGGAAATTTCAGCACTTCCAGGAGACTCTGAGAATATTACAGAAGAGCAACTACAGCCATGGTTTGGGGGAAGTCTCAGCAACCGTGTTCTTCCAGTGAAATGATAAGAATAATCATTAGGGCTGGGGATGTGGCTCAAGCAGTAGGGTGCTCGCCTGGCATGCGTGCAGCCTGGGTTCGATCCTCAGCACCACATACAAACAAAGATGTTGTGTCCGCTGAAAACTAAACAATAAATACTAAAATTCTCTCTCTCTCTCTCAAAAAAAATGTAAAAAAAAAAGAATAATCATTAGCTTTTAGCTTTTAGTGAGAACTTATTCTGTGCCAAGAGCTAAGGAAGCACATGGGCTACTTTATTTGACCTTCCCAATGACCCTATGAGTAGGGAATCCCCATTTTGCATATGAGATCAATAAGGCTTGGCAAGATTAAGTAACCAGTTTGTTGATACAGAGCCTTGACCCAAGGACATGAGCCAGGAAATACAATTCCAGCTCTGCTCCTAACCACTATGCCAAACTCCTGCCACATGGGTTCTCTGGTGTCTCACGAAGTCCCTGCCTAGTTAAACACTGCATATATTGTCATGTGAGGGTGTGCTGTGAGGCAGCAATGTCCTTGGGGGTAGTGAGGGAGATGATCCTCTGCCCAAAGGACTCCAGACTGCTGCGCCTCTTGAATGCATTGGTCTGAATTCATTCTTTGGTTCATTTGTTCATTCATTCATTCATTCATCCATCCATCCAACCACTCACTTGTCCACTTCTGCTTCTGGCCCTTGCCCTTGCTGTGCAGGAAGCTTTGCTACAGAGGCCATCCTGCCTGTACGAATCCTCTCCCTTGCTCTCCCCTTCTTCCATCTTCCTTGGGAACTGACTACCAGTTAGATTTAGAACTAAAGAGTGAGATCTTCTGAGAGGTATGGATAGGCATGGCTTTGTTTAGGAATATGCTGTGCCCCTTGGAGAACTTTTCTTTTATTGTTTTTGTTTTTTGGTGGTGCTGGGCGGGGGGGAATGGAACCCAGGGTCTTGTGAATGCTAGGCAAGCACTCTACCACCTGAGCTATATCCCTGCAGGCCTCTTGGAGAACTTTTCCGTGTCCTTCTTGGGTGTCAAAAAAAGGAACACTGGAAGGAGGAGACTTTGTAGCAATTACTTCAGGTGATGACCATAAGCCCTAAGTCTGAAGGCTCCTCCTCCAAATGAACATAATGCAAATACATTCATCATTTCATTGCGAGTAAAAGTGGAAGTCTTGCGACAACTCATAAGGCCGCATATTACGTAGCCTCCCAGGATCCAATGGGCCCCCTCTCTCACCAACATGCCTATTCCTCTTCAGCCTTTACTCAAAAATGGCTACTACCTGTTCACTCATATGGACCCTCTGTTCCCCTCCTCCAGGAAACTTGTCTCAAACCCTAGCCATTCTTGAAGTCTAAGTTCAGATGGCCCTGGGCCCCCTGAGGTTCTCAGAGATTCACCCCAAGAAAGTAATGTCACCCTCCTTTGAATGCTCCTCAGAGTATTATTTTGGTTTATCAGGTATATTTTTTTAATGAAATCTATTGTATATTAGAGCATGGTTTTCAACTGAGGTGGCTTTGTCCCCTAGAGGAGATGCGGCAAGGTCTAGAGATATCTTGGTTGCCCATAACTCAAGAGGAGTAGGACTGTCGTTACTGGCATCTAATGAGAAACCAGGGATGCTGCTAAATATCCTGCCATCCACAGGACAGTCTCCCACGAGGAAGGATTACCTAGCCCCCCAACAGTAACTACATTATTAACTTCCCCATCTATACTACAATACACCAAGGGGAGATCACAAACACTCTGTATGCATGTGTCAAATGAATAAAAAAGAAGCCAAACCAAATTACACAAAGGTGTGTGGCCTAGCCAGGACAAGACTGTGGGAATTTCTGAGACAGGGTGAATCTTCAGCAAGCTGGAGAGGCCGGGGTGTGGGCTGAGATGCACACTGAATCTAGAGGCAGGAGGAGCCTCTACACAGAGGTATAACACTCTACACAGAGGTATAACACTCCTTTGCTATTCCGAATGTTCAGCAAAATCTTCTACACACGTCTGTGTGAACTATTTTGAAGAGAACCTAGGAAAGGGATGTGAGTGTTGAACAGGGAGAATACAAGACCATCAAAGACCCATAAATTGGCCTGATTCAATGGGTGGAGCAGCTCTAAGCTAGAGGTCTCCTGAACAGCCTGGATGACACTACTGCAGGTGAATTCTGAGCAGATTTTATTGAAATCTCAAAGGGCAGAGCACTTCAACAAACATTTGGGATGTGCAGGTTATATTATTCTCAAAAATATTCCCTCTCTTCCCCTGTGCCTCTTTGGGAAAAGTACATATTTCCCAGATTCATTGATGCTAGCCTCATGGTGGGGGACACATTTCCCTCTTGATTTTGGGCTCAGCCACGTGGCCTGCTGCAGCCAATGAGATGATAGCAGACATGACACAGAGGCTTGGCTGGGCTTTCCAAGTTTGACCCCTTGTAGTTTTTACTAGCACCAAGAAAAGACCTTCTCTGGGCCACTGCTCCCTCTTCAGCCCAGGCCTCAAAAAGAACACACATGGAGCAGACCTGAGCTCAGGCAAGTGCAGACAGGACTGACCATAAGTCACTTGGCAGAGCCCAGCCTGGAACAGCAAACACCCAGCTTGCTCAAAGAAGTGTCAGCAAGAACAAATGACTTTCAGTTTAAGCCAATGAACATAAGGGAGTTTGTTATATAGCATTATTATGGTAACCATTCACTGAGACAGGACAAATGTGTGTATGTATACACATGTTAATGTATATTTCAATGATATACATCAATCATATGTATAATATGTGTGTGTTTTTATAGCATGTGCATATTTATATGCCCAATAATATCTGAAGCTACAAGGTTAGAAAGAACATAAACTACCCTGTCCCCCTATTCCCTAATCCTCAGAGAAATCTGGAAGGAAATAGGGCACTCCTTCATGAGGATCAGGACTGAGAAAACAGGAAAATATCAGTGGTAGTTGTCTCCGGGTAATAGGATTATAGATGATCTTAATTTTGTTTTTATAATTTTCACAATGAAAAATTCACATATTACTTAACTAATCAGTTGTTTCACTTACACAAAAATACCTCCTGAGGCCTCATCCTGAGAGCTTCTCTGTTTGAAGTGAAGAGGTTAAATGGCACCCCCTAACATCTATTTAAATTTAAAACTAACATTTACCGAGCTTGTTTGGCTGCTGTACAGAACTGCAGAGGATTCTAAAACAAACAAGAGACAGTTAAAAATGGCTGACAAAAAAAAATGGCTGTCTCCAAGTAACTCACTTCCGGTGCGACAGCCCCAAGTGGTTAAGACTTCCCTGGGACCTGATGCCCACTGGCTGGCCTCCCTGCTGCCACAGCCAGCCCCTGCCCTATGGGCTATGGGTTTCAGGGCACTGGGCTATACAGTTCAGGCACTAAAGATTTGGGTCGTGATACTGTGCTGCGTAACTGAGAAGGAGGGAGGGGGTGAAACCAAACCCTGGTGATAACAACTGAGTTTCGCCCTAAAGGGGATGATTGAGGGAAACAGGCCGCCTATGCAAGTCTCAGGAGGTTAGATCCAAGGAGCAGATTTTCCTACAAATGCACAGGTGGCCTCAGGCCAGGGTCTGGGAGCTCTGGATAGCCCAGGCCATGATGTTTCTCAGGAAAATTGAGTCTTGGGGCTGAGGAGCCTCCCAAGAGACAGCGTCATAGGGTTAATAACTGTCATCCCAGCCGGGCTGGACATGCTGCTGCCCGGTAGTTTCATGTCTGAAACCTAATTCAGTCTTCTCTGGAGGTGCCAAATAGATATTGCCAAGCTGAAAATAAAGAACGGGCAGGAAGTGTAATTTATACGTAAGGTTAATGGAGGCTCTGTGGCCTGTGACAGGTGTACCAACAGTCTCTGACCGGCTGTGCTCAGTTTCTTCTGAGCAAAAAGTAGATTGTAATAAACTGTAAGGAAAGGTGACATACTGCAGCTGCGGAGGTTTAATTTACTGGAGATGAGTTTCCCGTCGGGGTCAAATGGTCTTATAAAACGTCCCTAACCGCCACAGAACATTGTCACAGGAAAATACAAAGGGCCTCTGGCTCCATTGTTCTCTATTTCAAAACTTATTCTCATATTCATCCATTAAACTTTATGCCAACACTTTCTTTGCACCAGACTCTGCAGAGCTTCAGGGACAGAGAGAAAAATCAAACACTTTCACATAAACATATAAATTACATTACAACCCCAAAAGGTGGTACCAGGGAAGAATGATGAGTTGTGGAATCGTCAGTTCTGCCTAGACCCGTGTGGTAGAAACTCCAAGTAGTGTGC